CATTAATGTAATGGTCTTAAAATGTACATTGAAATCTTCAGATACTATAATTTTCTAAAACTGACAAAAAATTCAAATGTCACATTCTTGCAACTACGTCATCTGGGAAGTTTTAGAAGCTTCATTCAAAAACACATTGCAAAAACATTATAGTTACATTGTATTTATTCTGCTTTATTGATCTGCACATTAAAGGGGTGTAAAGTCTGTCTTTGTCCTAAAGCAATAACTTGCATCAAAATTTATATTGGCCCATTAACCCCCACACGTTAGGTCAATTTTAATGCATATTCATCTATGTGTGTTATATGCTAAGCGCTTCATTATAAAATTTTGAAAATAAAAAAGGATATACAAGCGCCCACATGGACAAAGCAAGTGACACATGAAAAGTATTTCTATTACAAAGTGATATTTCAACAGTGAGTCAACAGTGATAAGCAAATGTGCCAAAATGCAATTTTACAACACTTTTCAAATTTGAAAAGAAATCCTTCAAATTGCATTGTAGTCAGTTGGCGGGCATTTTTAATCTCACCCAAATGACATGGGAAGTCCCTCACTGCTGTAAAAAAAAGTCACAGCTTAATTCGAGGGTGACATGGGAAATACAAAAATCCTTTAAATGAAAAGTTAGGGGTTGCCTTAAAGCTGTACTTCATGTTACACAACCACCACAGTTTTCAGGGAACAGTGACAGCGTACTTTGGCAGTGCATAGTTGGCTGTGGGATTGAATATTTTTTCACAACTAGCTTTGCTTACAGACAGCGGCAATTCAAATTACTTTCACACCTTATTGGCTGCTGTGAAGCAGATTACCAGGGTCCGAGAATTTAGGACATTATGAGTCAGTACTAAAATTAAACATTCATGAATTTGATTGACAGAAGTGAGCTTGGAGTAGTGGCTACTTTACAACACACACAGGGACCATGGGGAACAAAAGTAGCCACCCTCCAGAACAGGGGCGGACTGGGACGGGGGGCAGGGTGGCAATTGCCCCCCGGGCCTCTCTGCTGCCTTTAAAAACGGCCCCTGCCCGCAAATATATTTTTTTTAATACTCACCTAATCCACCGCCCAGTGCAGCCTCCAGTCTCCCACGCTGTCAGAAGCTTGCGCGCAGCTTCTGAGAAGATACGCTATTAGCGTAGCGGGCACTTTGCAAAATGCGCAGCCAGCTTCCTCGCTACGCTAATAGCGTTTCTTCTCTCTTGTTGGTAGATCCAGGAATCAGGTGAGTATTTTAAAAAAAAATGTTTTATTTTATGTTCCCGGGGACATAATTTGTCAGGGAACTGTCTCCTCAATCTGCAACAACTAATCGACCAAGTCGATTATAATCGATGGTTGATCATCGATTATAATCGAGTTTTCAATCACCGATTATCGGCTTTCGATTAGTTGGTCCTGTTCACGGCTCCACACACGCCGCGTGCCGTACCTAACTGCATTCACGCTCCACATGCCACACCCCCACCACGCCTCACACTCACCGCCCGCCTACATCCATGATCGGCACAGGGACGCGGGGAGAAGTAAGGAGGAGCAGGCGTGGGGGGATGACAGCCGCAGACAGAATGGCCCGATCTCAGAAGCAAGTTGCTGGAAGACTGTTCAGGTAAGCCTGCACTTCCCTCCCCCCCCCCACATGGTGCTCTATAATGTATTGCTGGGATTTGTAGTCCTCTATAGCCGGTGCCATTCTGCATTGATTGCTGTATAATTTTACAATTTCCATTTCACTATATTGCACACCACACTTCTTTTTTTTTTACTTCCACCGCTCCAAGCTTGCTCCTGTGATGGACTACAATCTCAGTAGAAACTAGTAGTCCCACCACTGGAGCCATTTGTTTATCCCGATTAACCGGTTAATAATCATTAGCTGCAGCTCTAGATAAATGGTCACCCTACACCAGGGATCCCCCACTTACCACCAAGGAGCCTCCACTACCCACCTGGGAGTTACCACAGAGCCACCACTATTAGGGAGCCCCCAATGGCCACCACAGATCCCGCACTGATCAGCAGAGAGCCTGCACTGACCACCTGACAGTCCGCATTGGCCACCTGAGAGCCTAATTAGGGAGCCGCCTCTGCTGCGCCTGTGAACTTTTTTTACCTACAATAAAAGACCTGATTGCTGCACTTCACTGCAGGTTGTTTTTTTCTCTCTTGCTTTTCCCTCTGATGAACTGCCCGGTCCTGCCTTTAATTACATCCGGTGGGAGGTCGGCGCCGCCATCGAGGCAGAGTGCTAATTAACTGGAGGAGAAAGGGGACAAGAGCGGTTCTGTCAGCTCTCTGACAGAACGAAAGAAAAGACTTTTGATTTCCTACCCTTTGACGTCTTCTGAAAGAACTCGGCGTATCCTTACCTTTTGGTCTATACAGGGACAGATAAGTGGACAATTTATAACTATTTCCCTTTAAAGAATAAAAAAAAGAGGAATTTATTGCTGGGATTATTTACGTGAACGAGGGATTGAACCAATACACAGGTGGAAGGAAAGCATCGACAGCAGAGATCTGGCTGGCTTCGTTCTACTCTGGACAGGTCCCCTACAATTGATTATATCCAGTTCACTTATTTGCTACTATGAATATGTGTTACATTTTAACCGAGTAGTTGCTACATTGAAGATCAACTGTCAATCCAGGGTTGGTATATAGAATAGTTGCTATACCTAAAAAATTGAGGATTTACTATTATTCTTTTAGACTTTATAGAGAGTTTTTTACCTAATCATTGGTACTATCACCTTTGGAATTTATTTTTATGATAATCTGATAATTTATTGGCACAATAATTGTTGTATCTATTTAAATTATTTATATAAGCACTAATTAACATACGACTACAGCCACATTGCACTTTAATATTTACAAAACTAAATCTCACATCTCTATACCCACCACTCAGGTACCCACAGTACACAGTAATTCTGGATGAGTGAGGCGTATTAGACCCCGCCATACGGTTTTTGGGAACACTTACACAATAAAAGTAATCACAGATTATATCTAAAAATAAACACTCAACAAAAGATGGTTTAAAGTTTATTTATTTAGTCTAATAATTATCACAACACAACTATTAAAACTTCCATCCTCACCTTTATTATTTCTTTATTAATTCCTTTTTTTCCACAATCACTATACTTATTAAGCATTTAAATTATAACAGTACTTACGATATACACGAGGAAATGATCATTAGGTAGTACAAATAACACCAAGCGCAACATACTAGCCTTCACTGCCTCTGCTGCACCCACACGCACCCGTGAAACTCTCTGGACCCCTGGTGAGAGCCTGCACAACCCTCCTGAGACCCTGGAGACATCGGGTGGTGAACCCAGAGCAACAGAGTATGTAGCTTCATATTATTCTGCATTGCTGTAATATGTATTGCTGGGATTTGTAGTTCTCTATAGCTGATGCTGTTCTGCATTGCTGTATAATGGTATTGCTGGGAATTGTAGTTCTCTATAACTGTTGGTAGTCATTATTGCTGGGATTTATAGTCCTCTATAGCTGATGGTATTCTGCATTGTTGTGTAATGTATTGCTTGGAATTGTAGTTCTCTATAGCCAATGCCATTCTGCAATGCTGTACAATGTATTTCTGAGATTTATTGTCCTCTATAGCTAATGGTATTATTCTACATTGTTGTATAATGTGCTGAGATTTGTAGTCCCTCTACAGCTTGGAGTTAGTGGCAGAACTACCAGGATCGCAGCAGTCGTAGACGCGCACAGCACTGACGAGGCATCCCTCCACTACCAGTGTGTTCTAACTTTCCTCAACCCATAAATTTCTCTGCCGCTTCACTTCCAGGTGCGCATGTCATGAAGAAAGGGGGTCATGAAAACAGCTGATTCTGATGACTCAGCCCCACTGGAAGTGACACAGTCGAGAAAATGTATAGGATCGAGAAAAATTATAGAACACTGACTTTGACACTGTCCGGCCCCTCCCACTAACCTCCCACAGCTCACAGCCCAGAAGCATGTACAGCCAGTGGCGGTCTACAGTGGGCGAGAGTGCCTAAGTACCTGACATGGAGCAGAGTAAGGCCAGAACCATGTAGGGAGCCCAGTGGGAGGAGAGCACCATCCTCCAGCCAGTCGTCCCTTTCATAGACTTACTAGGAGTCCTCACATCACCCGACCATTCACACTACCGTTACATGGATGGCAAAAGTGGCAGACAGAGGTGGGAAAGAGGCAGATCGGGAGGGGGGCCAAGTTGCTGCACCATGGGCCTCTGGGTTGTACTTGCCCCCTGGGCTAAAAGTTGCCAGTCAGCCCCTGCTCCAGAGGGGACAATGTAAGTACCAATTCGGAGATGATTTGAGGATCTACAGCCGAGTGATACACAAATAAGGTAAAACATTTGTAATAGTTATTGTACTTGAATGCATTTTTAAGATTTAATTCCTGAGTTTAGTGTCACTTTATCTCTCCAGCATCTACCAAATTTGAAATAGCGGCTTTTGTTGGCCAGAACCTTGGGGCTCAAACACATTATTTCCTGTTATCTTCTTGATCCTCAATGCAATACAATAAGGCTGTGCTATCAAATGTGCCATTACAGGTAGTAGTTTCAGTGAGAATCAATGCAAAATTATTTTAGGGGTGTGTACTTGCGTTCTCTCATTGCGTGAGCTTATAAGAACATGCTTCAAATCTGAAAGAAGTAAAAGTCTAGTCTTCATAACTTTATGAATTGTTGAAAAATTCCCAGGCACAGCTATGGAAATAAAGCAAAGGCAAGTTTAGTCAGATGCCTAATTTCAACATCTCTTTAGAAATGGATTCCACAGTTCTAAGAAAGGAAAGTAATGTACTGTATAGACTACAGTATAACAGCAGTGCAAAAAGCCATTAGCTTTCCCAGTATGTAAATCCAAATACATACACTAGAGGGCAGCAGAGCTCTTCAAACCTTATTCTCATATGCCTTTGTGAAGGGAGGAGCAGCATAAGGGTGTGTTGGAAAGCTATGTTCTTCTCTAGGGTATGTGTTATAGTGATGAAATCATCATTAACCCTTGAGAAATGATGACTACTGGATATGCAAAGCTACAGCAAGACGTTTAGGAAATAATGGTCATCAAATATTTATAGTGGATAGCCACATTATGGGCTGGATATGAAATAAACAGGACAACGCCTTCCATATTTCCATCATATTCATTGGACATTTAACTGCATGAACTAACAAGAGGCGCAAGTAAGTGTTTATCATTTCAGGCAAACTGAATTATTCAGGTGTCAGCTTTAGCACTTTCCCTGATCTACTGGTAACTGATGCATAACTGTTGCGGTGTTCATTTGACATACACAGTCATGACCAAAATGCTTAAATTACATTGATGCAACTTATTATCATTTAAGGGGGGAATATGTCATGGACAGGTACAGGTTGCAATAGTAACAGCTGCATATCTAACATTTATATTTCTGTCATGGATGTTATTTATTAACGGAGAAGCAATAATGAAGAGAGCAAGTCTAGCCATATATGCTTAGATTTCTCTTGTTCAGCCAATCAATATACTGTATTCCAAAGTCGATGCTAAACAGCGTGAATGGAGGAATTTTTAATGCTGGCTATTATATTCAGACTGCCCTGGCACCTGCAACTGCCTAAATACTGAACTCCGATAGGATGCAGTCACTGTTTGGCCAAATATTTTCCACCAGGCACAGTTGATTTTTTAAAATCAACTTTTGTCAAGCTGGGTGGTATTTTGGCCGGTCAAACCTTGGCTGATTCAGCAGGAATCACACAAAACTTGAGCTGTGTATGGCTGGCTTAAATTGCTAGCTGAAACAATAAGCCAACATTTTTAGGTCATCCATTCATGTGGCACATTAAATCTGAAATGTTTCCTGCCTGTTAGGTATGTGCATATGTTTGCATAGTAATCCAACTAATTTGTTTGTTGCCACAGGTCAATAAAATATTGATAACCAGACTAACTTAGAAGGGTAGCAGCAGCCTGATGGTGGATTGTAACCGTTACTGTCTTAAATCTTACCACAGTCCACAAGTGATAAGAAAAAAAAGAAAAAAATAGTGCAGTGGGTCCATCAAATGAAATATATCTGAAACAGGAACATCAGTTATGAGTAGACCGTTTATTTAAATACTTGAACCATGATAAGGATCCATAATCTAAAACTTGTAAATATTGTTAGATATGTGAACTTTATTAACTGCTGCCACCGGAAAGACCGGCTCTCCCATACATGATATCAAGTGGCAAACAGCTGCTCCTAGACCTTGCCTGGCTCTACATTTTCAAAGAAAATTGAACAAACAGGTCCATGGTACTGCTGATTAACACATTTTACATGAAAAGTGCATAAGCAAAACAAAATCCATCCATCGACAAGGAAATCCTAGTGCATTTCATACTAGAAGTGTAAAAGTAAGCCAATATCCATCCATCAACAAGGAAGCCTTATTGTGTTTCACAGAAGAAGTGCAAGAGCAAATCATCAGCAATTCATCAATGAGAAAGTCAGAATGCATTTCACACTATAAGTGCATAAGCAAACCATCAACCATTAATCAATGAGAAAGTCTGAACGTGTTTTACACTAGAAGTGCATAAGCACTTCTAGTGTAAAACTCATTAAGACTTTCTCTTTGAATAAAAACGTTTTGAAAATAAAAAAAAGACTTTCTCTTTGATGGATGGCTGTTGGTGCCTTTTTATGTGGTAAACAAACCTCCAATTGATCAGCAGCACCTTGGACCCATTGTTTGTTTTACTCTGAAATGTTCTTAGGCTGCACAGCAAGTTCCTTGAACATGGAGAATACTTTATAGTTTCAAGACTCGAGTTACAGCTACTAGAACTGGGCCTAGGAGCCAATCACTTCTTGGTATGGCCCTAATCTGGGCAGTTGTTAGTTGCTTGTTACATTAGAACTCTGGAATTATTTAAAATGTCAGCAGCTGATGAAAGTACTGAACAAAATCAATTTCTGTGCTTGCAACAGATTTTGCCTCGTAGGCTTTAGTAGCATTGTGGTATTTGGCACTGGCCGTTCCTGTCTTTGTCATTTTTCCCTCTTCTATCTCTCCTTTCCTTCTTTTCCCTTACTCCTTTTGTTCATTACTTTTCCCTAATAGTTGTGGATCCCTTTCTTTATCTTTGCTATGGTTATCCCTTTAACTGATGCTTTATGCGGAAAGACCCCAGATGTATTCTGTAACTTTGGTGGTTACTGACGACTATGTTCTATACTGTATTTTTCTTTCTTTTTTGCTTTTGTTACATTCTTGAAAACTGTTTATAGAATTATTATTGAATTATAAGAAAATAAATGTCCCTCAACATATTGAATTACAAACTATTAAGTTTCTCCCGCTTATGCTAGCCTTAGACTTGTGATGGTGGGCAGATGTTGCACCAAACAATCACCCCTCAAACATTATAAATTTTAATAAATCGTGTTAAAATGCATGTGTGCATGTAATGTCTATGAAGAAAGATATTCTAGCACCAAACAACAACAATTAACAGATGACCCATCTCTGCTGCAAAACAATTAGATGATCATTTCTGTTGCTACCCATTGAATTAACTATTTTCAATTTTGGCCAGATCAGGCAACAATCTAATGTCCATAGATCATTTAAAAACCAGTCAACAATCATCATATAGCCATAGATCATTTCAAGTGTACGTCAAGCCAAACACTTTTATTCCAGTTTTGGATAGTGTGAGGAAGGATTAGGATTGGTCAGGTTTTTATTGCTATCCGATGGTCCAAAAAAGAGATGTACCCTCACTTTTCTGTCCTGCTGACAATGTTTCACCAGACAGGAAGTGACGGGATCACTCCAACAACAACCAACAGTTGTTGGACAAAAAGTTACTTACTTTAGCATAGTAGGGGAAGGCTAGAACCGCTGTTAGATTCATATTTCTGTCTATGTCCCTATTACAGATTGTACCTCATTGTTTTGTTGGTAAACTGCTGCCAGCAAAAGCCCAGGCAAACGTTTAAATCCTTCCAAAACAAAACAAGTTTTTGGCTTGACATACTCTTTAAAGCCCAACTCCAGCCAAAACTTGTTTTAGACTTGGGAGGAGTAAATACTTTGCCCAATATTTAATACTATTCCTGACCCTATTTGGCAAATGTATTTAACTTCCTGTTAGTGGCATACCTAACATATCTGACACTTGGGGCAGACCATTTTTTAACACCCTAAATACATCGAAATTGGTTGGAAGAACTCTAGGTGGCCAATATTCAATTTCAGTGCCACCACTGCTGCATAAATGTCAGGATGCTAGGCGGCTGAAGCTGCCTGCATCTTAGCAACCAAGGACACTGGGCGGCCAACATTCATGCAGTGGATGTGGAGGCATTCTCCTTAGGACTATGATGTGAAGGGGGCCCATGATGTGAAAGGGAGGGGCTTCTGATGGGAAGGGGGAGCTTCTAATGTAATGGGAGCTCCTGATGTGAAAGGAGCTCCTGATGTGAAGAGGGGACTCTAATGTGAAGGGGACTCTTGATTGAAAAAGGAGAACTCTGATGTGAAAGGGAGACTCCCCCCTGTGGTGCCAAGGAGAGGATGACCTCATCATCCAGTGCAGATGTCAGTGTCCTTAAGCCCATGAAATACAGTTTATTTTGCCTGAACAAAAGGTAGCAATCCTAGAAAGCAGTTAGTGACATTAGTAGCAACACCAAAAATGGCCACGTTTATATAGTCGTCCTTCTCCAATAATTGCTTATCTCAAGACTCCCCCCATGTTTTTGTTTTTTTTCTTTAAACTATTTTTATTAGGATTTTGCAATTCAATAAGACAGCAATAGAACCAATACAATTACAAAAACACCTGAGCCTTCACGACTCAGGGGCAAGGCACATTAACAGTTACTAACTCCAAAATTTGAGAGCATAAAATAAAGGACACCCAACAATGTTCTAGAGGCATGAGTAGAGGCAACCTTCTCTGTTAAGCCCAGCAGGCAGACCCCTAACTCTGAACGGACCTCAAGCATGAGAAACTGAGATATAAAATGCGTAACCTCAGTCCAATACCTCCCCCATGTTTTTGATCCCAAAACTGCCAAATGCTGACCCTTATTCTATGAACATATGTAAAGTGGAGTGCTGTCATGCCATCGTACACTTGATGAATCTAGGAGAAAGAAGATGCATGGCAAATGAGACGAGGGTGTGTTTTTCCCCCACGCTTTGGCGGTCATGTAACACTTGATGTTTGGTTGCCGGGAAACAACTAGGGGCACTCAGCAGCCTTGATGTGTCCTGAGGGTAGATTGTGAAGTAGGCCTGTGTAAATGAGCCCACCCTGCATTTTGTTTAGCGGTGGCCACTGCACCTGCAAAAGGCCAGCACACAGTGCGGGGTATCAATATTAACAACTGCAAACTAAATTCTTTTCACCTATTAACAGAGCGCAAAACATTATTACTTAAATTTATTCATATGGCTCAATCAACTTTTTTGCCCCTGAATGAGAAAGCACCTGGTGGGAGTTGGATAGCCTGTTTGAATGGACGCTTAAAGTGGACATTTACCCCCTTTCACTAAAAATCCCTTTAGCATGCAGCTCTGCATGCTGATTTAAAATCATCTTACGTTCATTAGTTAAACAAACTTGTTTTTCATGTACTTACAAATAAAGTTAATATACTTCCTGATCCAGTTCTGGCCCAAATGATGTAATGTGCCCAAGTGTTGCATCCTGGAAGGTTAAATCAGCAGAGCATTGCTGGGAAATCTCATCTGTAATCTCATGAGATCTCAGGGAAAGTGCATGGTCTCATGTCCTAGTCACATTCCAGGAAACAAAGAGAGATCTGGTAATGTGCCCTTAGTTAACATGGCCACTGTGGGAAGACTGGGAAAGAAAAGAGAAATAAGGTGTTCAAAGAAAATAAAGCCGGCAATTATCTAGAAGTATGTGTTTGTAGATTGTCATTGCTAAACATGTCTAATGGTGTGTTTGTTGTTATTTTTTTTTTTAAAGATATGGATACAGTTCTTCTTTAAGTGGAAAATGCAATAATTGACCTGAGAGGATCTACACCTCACTGTGGGATACGTGTAATTAATAATGTTTTTTCTCTCCAACCATTAATGTCTCTAGCATTCCCTGAAATAACTGGATTTGCAGAAGAAGATGCCAACTTGCAAACCAGAGGACATGTACTGGATAGAAGGCTCTCAGAGAGAAAATGGACTGGAGCATTTCTACACACTGGGCCAAGAGCTTGGAAGGTACTACATTAAAACAGAATTATTACATTTAGTTGTAGTTTGTATTTACACCAATTGGTATTACTAACTTGTACAGTTCAGAGGATAAGGAGATTTACTGGAGCCATACGTGGAGTATGAAGGACATAGATGCAAAATATATAAAAGAAGAAGCAAATAGTTATTTGTTGTATTATTCCACTTGTAGTTGTACAATATTGTAGTTGTACAATATAAGTTACTGTACAGCAGCTTTTAAAAGACAGTGTACACCTTTGATGTGTTTACCTCAGCTTGTTAAATTAATGTATCATATCTGTTCAGTACTTATAATAATGCACTGCCACAGCAAGTACAGAAAAATCTCTGTTTATCTGTGTTATCAGCATGATTCTAACTTCCTGTTTGGCCTGGCAACAAAGTTCCCTTTTTGCAGAGATATCCCAACCAACGTTATCACCCTTGCTGGACAACATAACTCCGCCTATGCCCCCACTCCTCTCTGCACCACTCCTACTGGTCATGATGTTACAGGGAGTAATAAAAACTTTTCCTCTCTACAGGACAAGTAAAAGAAAAATAAATGCTCCAAATAGGTAGAGGAAGTTTGGGAATACATTTGGATAATGCCTTGATAATGTATGTAAAAGTCATCAAAATGTGAAAACACAAAGTGTGAACAGACCCTTTTACTGAAATGTACATTTTTAGCAGGTAAATGTAGCAGGGACAGACAAATGATTAAAGAATTAAAATGCAGTCAAGTCACATTAAATACAGAGCTCTTCATTCATGCAAGAACATTGAAGTATTGAGTATCTAGGACAGAGGCTAATATTTGTATTAGACGTAAACAAATCGGTGACACAGCAAAGGTTTCCATAATTGTGTGTAGTTCCTTGAGTTACGGCAGAATGCTCCCGAGACGTTCATAAACATGTTTGCTAGATCACTGTAGAATCCCACAGCATCTGCCTCTGAAAAGCAATCCCTTCAGATTAATTTTTCAGTTGCTAGATGCAGTAAACTAGGAGTTTCAAGCACAAAGCATTTATGACATTTATAGGCAAATGCAAACAGCAATTGTATGTTGCCCAGTGTGGTAGCCAATTTAACCATCAGGTTTTAGATATGAAGAGCAATGAAGGTATTAAAAAGTCATTTGCAATTTAATTATTTTAGTCATGGCTTGTGGTGGGCTAAACACATGCTGACTTCTTACAGCTTTGGCACTTCGGCATCTAGGGTTTAAGAGTGGTTAAGCTGACGATGAGCAGACAAAATATTATATGGCTTGAGACATTATTGAGTCCTGTTACACCTGGTGCTGTATGTATACAAGCTGTTTCAAGAAAACATTCATTTCTAACCTGTAAGATGCCACGCTAAAAAGAGCCAACATGGTTTCCAAATTAAAGAGTATCTAAGCTCAAACACAAACATTTTATATTTTGCAGTTTACCAGTCTTTTGTGAGCCATGGTTGCCATCTATGTCTGCCTTTGTTTATCTCTATTTTATGTGGGGGATATGGGATTAGAATGTTATGATCAAAAGGTAAGGATGTTTGTGCTTTCTGTTCATCTCACAAGAAGTGACAAGGACTCTTTCCGGCAAGATCAGAAGATACAGTATTTTCTCTACTTGCTAAAAATGTTATTAGCCTGAAGATCGAAAATAAATGCAACCACTACATCGAGGGATTGACCAGCTGCATTATATTACATTTTGTTTTTTGATTATAGATTATACTTTAAGTAAATCAAGCATTTAAAACTTAAAACAGAAATATTTGGGCACCTCTGGTCGGATGGCATGTTTTGCTCAGGATCTACAGAATGTTAACATAAACTCTTCGTGGTACAAACTAAAACATCACATATTTCTGAAAATGTCAGTGCACAATTACTTTATTTACTGAATTTAACATACTAGTAAAAAATACAGAACAAACCCAGAGGAATTTTGCAACTAACTGCTGTTGTCTGATGAAAAATAAACCTTGACTTTTAACTTCATAGGCACCAGGTAAGAATTGCCCCATATAGTTCAGGTGATAAGGTTGTTTAGGAATTTAGGTAGCTTTAGTAATAGAGTTAGAGGTTACATTATTTTTAGATTTGGTATTCCCAGAGTATTTCAAACCCATGGCAGATAATTTTTCAAAACCACCCTCATACAGTATACTGTATATGACAAAAATTGTTTCAGTAATAATTTAAAATTAATATTATTAATAATAACAAAGAAACACAAGCAGCTGAAATTGATGTGCTCCCTAACACTGGTGGTCAGTGTAGAAGTGACCCCTTACATTGGTTGTCATTGCTAAAGGGACTCTTAGAAACCTCAGGAGGAACCCTGGCTGAGAAAGCATGTGTAAGATATTACCATCCAGGGGCGGAACTACCGCCGGTGCAGCCGGTGCGGCTGCATAAGGGTCCGAGCCTAGGGGGGCCCAGTAATAAATCCTGGTAGGAGAGTGCAGCAAGAGATGGTGGGGGGGCGCCAGCCGCTGGCTGCAAGGAGGGAGCTGGGAGCCGAAAATACATAAATGGCCTGCAGGCACACTACGAGGCAGCGCTGGGGCCTTGGCCACAAGGACCCAGCGACCAGCTAGCTCATTACAGAGCCCACCGCCTCTCCCTTCTGCATGGTGTTCCGGACACGGGCACAGTCAGATGAGGTGATGCTTTCATCTACTGTATGTGCCTAAGTTCTGTATGTTTTGGGACATCGTTTGTAGTCCTCTATAACTGATGCAATTTTTCTGCATTTCTGTATAAAGTATTGCTGGGAGTTTTAGTTCTCTATAGCTGTAGTCCTCCAAAGCTAAAGCCATTCTGCATTGCCGTATAAAGTATTGCTAGGAGTTGTAGTCCTTTATAGCCAGTGTCATTCTGCATTGCCGTATAAAGGATTTTTGGGGGTTGTAGTCCTCTGTAGGCGAAGCCATTCTGCATTGCTGTATTAAGTATCACTGGGAGTTGTAGTCTTCTAATGCAGCCTTTTTGGCACCAGGGACCTTTTTTCCCCCAATAATTATACAACTCACCATAATGCAGAATCAGTGGGAGCCCTGAGCTTGTTTTTCTGCTCCCAGGTGGCCAGTGTGGGCTCTCGGGTGGCCAGTAGGGCTTTCGGGTGGCCAATGCAGCCTCTCAGATGGCCAGTGCGGGCTGTCAGGTGGTCAGTGGGGCTCTCAGATGGCCAGTGCAGGCTTTCAGGTGGCTAGTGCGGGCTCTCATGTGGTCAGTGGGGGCTCTCAGGTGGGCAGTGCAAGCTCACAGGTGGTCAGTGGGGCTTTCAGTTGGCCAGTGCAGGCTCTCAGGTGGTCAGTGGGTCCCCGGGTCTCCCAGGTGGTCAGTGGGGCTCTCAGGTGATCAGTGTGGGCTCTCAGGTAGTCAGTGAGGCTCCCGGCTGGTCAGCAGGGCTCTCAGGTGGCCAGTGGGGCTTTCAGTTGGCCAGTGGGGCTCTCAGGTGGCCAGTGTAAGCTCTCAAGTTGTCAGCAGGGCTCTCAGATGGACAGTTCAGGCTCTCAGGTGGCTAGTGCGGGCTCCCTGGTGGTCAGTGGGGCTCTATGATGGCCAGTTCGGGATCCCAGGAGGCCAGTGTGGGCTCTCAGGTGCCAAGTGCGGGCTCTCAGGTGGCCAGTGTGGGTTCTCAGGTGGCCAGTTTGGGCTCTCAGGTGGCCAGTTTGGGCTCTCGGGTGGCCAGTTTGCGCTCTCGGGTGGCCAGTTTGGGCTCTCGGGTGGCCAGTTTGAGCTCTCAAGTGGTCAGTGGGGCTCTCAGGTGGCCAGTGTGGGCTTTGTAAGACCCGGGGGGCCCCAAAAAAATCTTGCACCAGGGCCCTTTGTTCCCTAAGTCCTCCACTGGTACCATCATATTATCTATTTTCTACCATCTCATGGGAGAAAATAAATCTACTAAAATACTAAATATTTATTAGAGCATCACTGCATCTGCTTATATTTTCCCTTCAGGGGTTCACAGGCAGGTCCTAGGTGCAGAATCACATCTAGCCCCTGTGGAGCACAAGATCATGTTCTGTCTGCAGGTGAAGCACCCTGCCAATGAGGTAGAGGGTAGTAAAGGCAGCAAATTGAATGAATGGACCATAAGCCTTGTGCACAGCCCAGATACTGCAGACAACTTTCCTGCCAGCATGTTGCTACCTAAAGTAACTTAAACCTAACCATTCATTTGCAATGAACCATTAGGCCAATACACATGTGTAAACATGGTTTCAGAGGACGCTCAGTGCATGTTTAATATGTGTGCCAAGTGCCTTCAAATAACACTTCTGTATATAGGATCAAAAATATGCAAATTAACTAACCCATTTAAGGTTCAAATGTTATTACATATACTGCATATCACATTTTAAAACTTAATAATTAGTCCTTTAAATCATTTTCTGCAAACTGTACTCTATCCAAAACTAATTTTAAAAAATCAGTAATTTTTATGTAGGGGAGTGGCCCAACTATGCCATAATTGTAGGCATAATCTTGTGGTTCCACACTGAAGAGCACCTCCTGGCAACTAGAATTATTAGAACAGTTCTCCATTCCCAGAGTTCACAGCTTTGCTGGACGTGCCGTCCACAAGATTCCTTACATCCGACCAGTTCTCATTACATTTGCGCTTTCCTTGTCAGACTCTAGGACTTGACAGAAGTATCATTACATTATTATTCTTGAGGCCTCAGCTACATGAGGTTTCAGCTTCAATATAAGTTTCATGCTCACCCTGTTCTCAACCCCTTGTCTAAAGAACCAGCAAACAGTTACATGTAGAAATCTTCTCTATTCTGCTACTGACCTCCTCTGACAAAACCTCACCTCTGTCCTGCCCTGACCTGGCTACTTCTGTCAACTTTCCCCAACCTTCCCCATCACTCCTCCCAAACCTTCCCCATCACTCCTCCCAAGAGCACCTGCTCTCTAGCTCCCTCATTAGCTGCCCGCATGCTCTTCTCCAGCTTTTCTCTAGAGCCTCTTCTCTGGAACTCCTTACCCC